CCAGGGCGTTTCCTCTGCCCAACTGGGGTCAAACTCACAGGCTATTTACACAAAACATTTCAGATCTGTGGGCTGGTCACTGGTCATGGTGCTGAAGCCAGTAAAAGCTGGGATTATGGGGAGGGGCCGGAGCTTTGCTTCTCACTCCCCCCACCACAGCACCCTCTGCACCAGTGCCCTTTCCTCCCCCTGCCCTCAGCCCCAGGGAGCAGCACCCCATTTCCTGGTCCCTTCTGCGCTGGCAGCCGGAGGCTCCTCCCTGGCCCTGTGAAATCCCCGTGTTCTGTCTCCAGCTCCTCCCTGGCTCCTCCAGCCCCCCTCCCTGCCTGCATCCTGCTCCAGCCCCCCATGGTGTCTTTGGGGTTGACCGCACCCCTTTTCTCATCCCTCTTCTCCTCACTAGCCACTCTCTCTCCAGGAAGCCTCTGGAAGCACCCAGGGGACGGGCTTCCACCATGGGGCCGGTGTTGGGGAGGTCAGGCACCTCCAGGCTGCCACAGCTTTTCTGAGCGTCCCTGCCTTCAGGTGGCTGCGCTAGCCGCTCACTGCTGGCCAGCCCTGCTGGAGGGGGCTGCTAGGGGCAGGGTCTTCGCACACACAGCAGGATGTTCTCTGAGCAGTTGTCATGTGGTTCTGAAAAGTTAGGCGTAACCATTGAATTGTGCCTGATCTCTGTATCGTTGTTGGGAGTTGCCGTCCAGTTGGTTCTGACTTGTGGCGACCCCATGTGTGCAGAGGAGAACTGCTCCACAGGGTTTTCGGAAGCAGATTGCTAGGCCTGTCTTCCCAGGAGCTTCTGGGTGGGTTCGAACTGCCAGCCTTTTGGCTAGTGGTCAAGCACTCGACTGTTTGCACCACCCAGGGATGCGACAGGCAGAGTATCGGCCCACAAGGATGGCCACACCCTGAATCCCATTGGGTGGGGAGGATTGGTGGTGGTGGCCGAGCGAAGGCTGCCCAGTGGTCCTGGTGCGATGGGGCAGAGCCTGGACCAGCGGTGGTGGTGGAGATAGTGACAAGTGGGAGATATGACGAGACTGGGAGGCAGGGCTGGGGAGAGTGCAGGGTTGGCCGTGGGGGCTGAGGGAGGCTGAGGAGTTTTTTGGCCTGAGCCACTGGGCCTTGGAAGGTGGTGTCCCGCAGATGGGAGCACAGAAATCCCATGAGGAGCCTGGACAGGTGGGCGATCCGCAGAGGCTGGTGGGAGGCAAAGGGGCTCCAGTTTGAGTCCCCTGGGGGTGTCGTTTTGGGAGTGGTCACACAGGGCATCCAGCCACAAGATGAGGTGACCCAGGGGAGCCTGTGGGTAGGGGAGGGGGAGAGGCGGGGGCTTCTGCGGGGCTGGGGAGGCGGGGAAGGAGGGCATCTCTTTCCTGAATGGTGGACCCCCTGGGCCGGTCCAGGATCCTGGGGCACGAGGGAGAGAAGGCCCACTCTGGGGGCTCCTTGTTGGGAGCTGAATCCCCAGGCTGACTGGGTGGGGTAGCCGGGAGACCTGCAGTGACAGACTGCGCACAGGCCAGGGGTGAGCGCGCAGCCTGCCCCATGCAGGTGTGTCCTGGAGGCCACTCGGAGGGTGGCTCGTGGCGGCGGGGCCCAGGGACCCTGGTGTTGGGCGGAGTAGGCCGGCCGAGTGCCCTGGGATCTAGCCCAGCGTTGGGCTGGAGTCCGTGGGGTCTAGTGTCTGGAGGTGGTGGGGGGGTGGTGGCTGGGAGGGGCGGTGCATGGCTTGGGAGCTTGCGCCCCGGGGAGGCCAGTATCCTGCACATCGTTCGGCCGAAGCCCCGCCCCTACCGGGCAAGCCCCGCCCACCCCTCTGGCCCCTCCTCCAGGCTGCGGCGCCCGCGGGCAGTGCGGTGCGGGGCTGGACACTGGTGGCCGCTGCGCCGCCCTCAGCCCCCGGCGGAGACATGGACCCCTCGCGAGCCATCCAACAAGAGATCAGCTCCCTCAAAGGTGCGGGCCGGGGTGGGCCCGAGCCCAGGGGGCGCTGACCACAACGTGACCTCTGGCTGGTGCAGTCCGCCGCAGGGAAGCGGGCCGGGGTCTGCCGCCGGGGCAGCATTGGGGGAGAGGAGTTGGAGCCACGGGCGGCCCCGGGCTCGGCTGCGCAGGGGCTGCACCTGGTCGGGTCCCCCGGGGACGACCCTAGTGGCTGCTAGGTGGCCCTGCTGTGTATGGGGGCGGGGCGGGCTGCAGTGGCTGGGGCGGGGCGGAGGTGAGAGCGCGGCCTTTAAGCTGTCGGCCCCTGTCCTCCTCCGGGGACTCCGCGGAGCGCCCCCACCCAGACACTGGTCCTGCAGCAGGAGTCCGAGGGGCGAGAGCAAGGCCCTGGGGATGGCTGTGTGGAGGCGCCGGGCAGGCTGGCCCTAGCAAGTCCACACTGCAGCTCTTTGTCCGGGGTGGGGGGTTGGGGGGTGAGGGGCTGCCCCAGGGCCCGGTCTGGTTACCCAGGAAACCCAGCAGGGCCTGGAGTCGCGGAGAGGGGCCGCCTGCCCGTCCTCCAGTCGCTGAATCAGCAACTGCGGCGTCGGTGCGGTGGATGGGGGCGGGGCGGGGAGGGGCGTCCTCCGAGCGCGACGTAGGGGGCGCCCGGGCCAGCGCCGGGCGAGGGGAGTGTGGGGAGCGAGCCGGCGGGCAGAGAACGTCCCGCTCCAGGCTCCTTTCTGCTTGTCCACTCGCCGCAGCACTGGGGAGGCAGGGGCTTTCCCACCGAGCCCCGCCCCCTTCCTGGGAGCCAGGGCTGCTGCCGCTTCTGTTGTCGGGGGTGGCCGGCTGTGTGGGTGGGCTACGGGGGCAGGCGTCGGGCCTGGGACCCCGGGCAGGCCTGTGCAGGACGAGGAGACACTGGGGTCCAAGTGCTTGGTGCCGTGGTGTGGCTTGGGATCATTTGGGGGCAGTGTGGGGTCATGGAGTGGGGGGCTTGATTAGATCGGGGAAATCGTGTCAGCAAGATGTCCTGGATGTATGGGAGGAGCATGAGAGGAAGCTCAGGTCAGTGGGGGCTGAGGGGTGGGCACCCTGGGGTGGGAGTGGGGAGCCCAGGAGGTCAGTGGAGGCTGAGGGCTGGGCACAGGGTGGGGGAGCCTAGAAGGTCTGTGAGGGATTGCTGAGAGGTAGACAAGGAGAGGGGGGCCTTGGCCCGAGTGGCCTGGCTGAGCGGGCCTTCTGTGGTCGGAGTTCCTGCCTGGACACTCAGCTGGTGCTGGTCCCCCGAGTCACGGCTGTGGTGGCTTGGGGACCTATCCCAAGTGCAGCCACTCAGCCCAGGCCCCCAGGCTCTGCTAGACACGGGGGGTGTGGCCCCTGACCGTCCCACCTCCCTACCCTCCAGGAGCTGGCCTCCTTCCTGGCCGGGCTGACTGGGGGCGGGGACATGGAGAGCAGGCAGCCGCAGCAGGGCAGGGAACTGGCTGGGCAAGAGCACCCGGCTGTGCGTGCAGTTTCCGCCACGTGTGTGTGTTTGGAGCCTGCTGGTGTGTGTGTATGAGTGTGTGTGTGTGTGTGAGTGTGTGTGTGAGAGTGTGTGTGTGTGTGAGAGTGTGTGTGAGAGTGTGTGTGTGAGTGTGTGTGTGAGAGTGTGTGAGAGTGTGTGAGTGTGTGTGTGTGTGTGTGTGTGTGTGTGTGTGTTTGTGTGTGTGTTTGTGTGTGTGTGTGTTTGTGTTGGGAGCCTGCAGGCGCGCTGCCATGGTGACCGCCCCATAAACCCGCCTCCACGCTGCTGCATGCTGGCCTTTTGCCTACCCGGCCGGCCGGCCAGCGCCTCCCACCACGGGATCCCTCACCCCGCCCTATTTATAACCAGTTCCCGGGTGTGCAGTGCTTGGTGGGAATGGGTGTGTCCGGCTGGAGAGGGCAGATCCGGTTGGGGGTTGCTGCGGCACAGAGTGAAGAGAGTTGGGGTTGAGGGGCACTGGCAGGCTGTCCAAGTTGGAACCTCAGTTGTGTGGGGGGGATCGATGGGTGCGGCCCCCATATGGTACTACAGTCCCTCCCCGGTCTGCGGCAGCTTCCTTTTGCTGGGGTCCTTCATTTCCTGGGCGTGGGCTCCTCTCCCGTCCCTCTGTCTGGCCACTGCTGGGCATTCAGGCCACCCCCGTGGGTGTCTGCATGAGTAGCAGGGGCACCAGCCCTGGGGTGGCAGTGATTTGGTGACTTTGATTCCCTGTGGCAGCTGGGAGTCTCTGGCCTCTGACAGCTGGCGGGGTGCGGGAGCCCCCTACCCTGAGCCCTGCCAGTGGACTCCGGGGCTCAGAGGGGACGCTATGTTCCTGGGCTGCCCTGGGCGGCTCTGGGTCAGGTATTTGGAGGTGGGGGCTCTGTCTCTTTCCCCACCCAATGTATAGCTGGTGGTGCCTGCTGCCATGTGCTCTGGCCGCTTTGGCTCCCCTCAGACCTCTGCCCCCCAGACCCCAACTCTACCCCCTCGAATCCCTGCCCCCAGGCCCCAGCTCCTGCCCCCTCAGACCTCTTGAGCCAGCCCCCAGACCTGGCCACTTGGACTTCCCTGGCTGCGGATCCCTCCTGCCCCCTCTTCCCCTCGCCGGGTTCTTTACGCCCTTCATTCTGCCCCTCTTTTCTTTACATTCTCTGTCCCCCTTCCTAGTCTTTGTCCCCTCTTCCCAATCGTAGGAAGCTTGAAAGACGTGTTTAGAAAGTGATGTCATTTCTGACGTTGGGACCGTGGGCCCCGAGGGGAGGAGGCCAGCTGTGGGGGCTGTGGCCACTAGGTGCCCCCCACTCCGCGGCCCAGTGGTGTGGGTGGGCGGGGCCGCTGGGTGCTGAGTCAGAGGGGGCCGGCCGGGGCGTGCTGGAGGGCTGGCCGGCGGGCAGAGCCGGCAGGATCGAGGGAGCCGGCGCCGCTGAGCCGCAGAGCCGAGCCTGCGCCCTGGTGCTCAGCCCGGCCTGCCCTGCCCCGAGCCTGCCTCGCCTGCCCCCGCGCCCCCGTCCACGCTCGGTGCCCAGGGAGCCCAGCCCGGCCGCCCCGCCCGGCCGCAGTCATGGTGGCCGGCATGCTCATGCCGCTGGACCAGCTGCGGGCCATCTACGAGGTACTCTTCCGCGAGGGTGTGATGGTGGCCAAGAAAGACCGGCGGCCCCGCAGCCTGCACCCCCACGTGTCCGGTGTCACCAACCTGCAGGTCATGCGTGCCATGGCCTCTCTGCGGGCCCGGGGCCTGGTGCGGGAGACCTTTGCCTGGCGGCACTGCTACTGGTACCTCACCAACGAGGGGATCGCCCACCTGCGCCAGTACCTGCACCTGCCGCCGGAGATTGTGCCCGCCTCCCTGCAGCGCGTGCGCCGCCCAGTCGCCATGGCAACGCCCCCGCGCCGCACCCCCCACGTGCAGGCCGTCCAGGGCCCCCTGGGTTGCCCACCCAAGCGGGGGCTGCCCCCCGCCGAGGACACGGCTAGAGACGAGCGGCGGTTCTACCGCCGGAAGGATCCTGAGGAGGGGGTGCCTGAGCCCCCTGTGGTGCCTGCCACCGCCCCAGGGACCCTAGCACGGCCAGGCCTGGAGCCCGCCCCAGCCACAGGTCAGCTGCGTCCGGGCCCTCCAGCCTTGAGGGGTGGGAAGGGGGTGCTCTATCTGTGCAGCCCCGCAGGCCTCACACGTGCTGGGAGTCCACTCACGCCAGCAGGTGGCGCTGTCTCTGCCGGAGGACACTGGGTGCCTCGTCAGCCGACCACATGGCTCCTCCCCAGGGCTAAGGACCTTGGGGTGGGTAGGCCAAGGAAGAGCCTGGGGCGCTGCCGGCCCATCCCAGTCACCCCAGGCTGGGGATGGGGCCTGCAGCTGAGCCTGGCAGGGCCAGCTGTGGGCAAAGTCCTCCTTGCTGCAGCTCAGGGCTCCTCCCCAGCCTTGCCCTGTGTCTTGTGACACCTGCTCACTCCTCCCTGTAACAGTGTTCTGTCTTCCAAGGCCCTCTGCATGGGGTGGGGGCACAGAGGGGTGCCTGGTCCCCCTCCAGCAGTGTGGCCCAGGCTCGATTATTTAACCTCCAGGCCTCGGTTTCCTTGTCTGTACAGGGGTGACCACTGCCTGGGGGTGTGGGTGGCTCAGATGTGCATGAAGGGTACTGAGTGCCACCAGGGGCAGCAGGCACCGAGCAGGGTGCTCGGCTGGCTGGGAGTTGGTGATGGCCTGGGGCAGTCAGGTGGGCTGGGGAGAAGGTAGACCCCGACAGGCGGAGGCCAGGCATGGTGGGTGCTGGGCATGGGAGGGGGTCGAGGTGGAAGTAGATCTGAGAGGCTGAAGCAGGTTCTGTCCTCCCCATGGCGTCCGTCTGTCCTGGTGACCTGTGCTAGCCTGAGGCTCAGGTGGCCCCTGGGGAGGATCTTGGTCTCGGGGGCGGGGGTATGCAGCGTGTGCCAGGTGGATGGCGGTGGGGCCTCAGGTGCAGGCCCCAGGCTGGGATGCGGCTCCTGTGCAGGGTGCTGGGTGGGGGTCCTGTTCTTGTCCTGCAGTGGCATGGACTTGGTCTGGTTCAGACCCACTAGGGCCACGTGGGAGGGTCATGGGGGTCCGGGAGGCTTGAGGGCAGAGTCTGGCAGGCCCAGGTGTGGGGGCTAGAAGGGCCCCTCTGAAGGGTCTCTCTGACTCTCGTGAAATGGGCATCAGCAGTACCCCCGTGGCTGCTTGAGGACTTGGTGGGGCCTCAGTGAGCTCCGACGTGCTCCCTGGTCCACAGCCTCACTCCACTGCTCCTGCGGCCCTGGGGGCTTGAGACCAGGTCCCTCTCCTCCCCTTGGTGGGCTGTGGGGTGGGAGCACAGCCCCTCCCTCCTTTCTCTCCTTCCTTCCTTCTCTGAGGCCAGGCCAGGCCAGGCCAGCGGGGCCGGCAGCTGGCAGCGTTGGGAGGGGGCCGGGTGTGGTCGGGCGGATGGAGCCGCAGGGCCCCCCCAGCCCCGCGGCAGTGACTCAGTCTTCCCTTCCCTGCTGCAGCCACGGGCAGCTCAGAGTTTCCAACAGGAAATGGGCTCCAGCTCCCGGCTGAGTCAGGGTGGCGGGTTCCCCTCCAGTCGGCCCCCCTCCCGTAGCCCCCTCCCCTCACTTGGCTCCTGCAGAGAGGCTGAAAGGCCTGGGCTGCTGCGTGTGACAGGGCTAGGGCTGGTCCCCAGGCTCATGTCGTGGGGCTGCTCTGACGACACCTGACGGCATCACCTCCCCAGGTTTATACAGGACTGGAGTGAGCCACAGCAGAGCCACTCGCTCTGTGGTGGGTGAGGCTGGAGGACAAAGAGCTTGGGACTCGTGGCCCCCTCGGAGGGCTGCCTCTGCCCCCTAAGCCCAGCTAGCGCGGCCAGCCCCCCACCCTGTGCCCTGGGGTCTGCGGAGAGGACATGCTCGTCCACTGGGGTGTCCCGTGTGCTCAGGATACACGTCCACGTGGGACTATGTCCCCCCTTGTCCAGCCACACGCCTGCCGAGAACCTGCCCGGCTCGGGGGTCCTGTCCGGGACTTCCTGCCACGTGGGGATGAGCTGGGTGAGGGGGCAGGGTCTGGGGAGAAGTCTTTAATGGGGATAGGGCCTCTGAGGAGGGGCAGGCCTTGGGACCTGCTGAGAGGGACAGAGAGAGGCGGGGTGGCCCGAGGGGAGGACATGTGGAGCCCGGCTGCACTGAGGACTTCGGGTTCTCTCTAAGTGTGGTGGAAGCCACTGGAGGTTGTACGTATGTGAATCCTGCTCACGCTTCAAACAGCAGTGCTGCATGAGAGCTAGAATCCACCAGGAGCCAGCGCAACTAGTGAGCCCCGCCCACGAACAGGCCCTTCCCCGCAACTAGCCCGTGGTCTGCCTGTGTGTTTCTTGCCCCTGGTGCTGTGTGCGGGGTGGACTCCCCACCACACATTTTGCGTGTGTTTTGGTGGGGTCTTTTTCACGGCTGCACACGGTCCCCTGCCCGGAGGTGGGGCCTGCTGCTCTGGCCAGCTGTTTGTGACAGTCTCTAGCTTTGTAGATGTGTCGTTTTGCACGTTTACGTGATCTCCGTAGGACAGCCTGGCGGGTTTTAAGCAAGATAATGGCATGATTGGAGTCTCTGGGTGGTGCAAACAGTTAATGCGCTCGGCTGCTTACCGAAAGGTTGGAGGTTTGAGTCCACCCAGAGGTGCTGTGGAAGAAAGGCCTGGTGATCTACTTCTGAAAAATGAGCCATTAAAAGCCTGTGGAGCACAGTGCTTCTCTAGCACGCTTGGGGTCACCAGGAGTCGGGGTCGATTCAGTGGCAATAGGCTTGGTTTTGGTTTTTGGTATGGTGAGACTTGGTTTGCGTTCCACTGAGCTCTGTGGGGGCAGGGTGGAGAGGCCGCAGGAAGCAGGAAGCAGGAAGAGGGTTAGGAGGCACGGCATTGCCCAGGCCGGGGATGCACATGGCTAGGATGCAGCTGGTGCAGGGGATACAGACGGAGGGTTTGCCTGGCTGGCTTTGGGGGTGAGCTGATGGGGGTGTTGAGGCAGAGGGAGGAAGTGCAGGGCTCTGCCCCCATGCGGCCACGTGGAGAGGCTGCTGGGCAATCGCCTGGAATGTGGGGTGGGGGTGGCTGGGCCAGGCTGGTGGGGCCCACAGAGGGCAGGGAGCGGGCTGTGTGGGGCAGGCACAGTAGCGAAGGCCGGTGGGCCCTGGGGGCTGGGGGTTTTGGTCATATGGCTGCCGCTCCACCCAGCTGGCCCCCAGGCTGGTCTGGTCTGACCCCTTGGTCCACCAGCTCCGAATTGGGCTCTGCTCACTGACTAAGGGGCGTGAGGAGGAGCCTCTTTACCCAGCTGGGTGGGGAGGTTGGGGACAAATGCCTTCCCTCCCAACCCTCCCCTCCTTCCTGCCTTCCCTTCCTCTCTGTCTGCTGTGGCTCTGGACAGCAGGCCCAGCTCTGCGGCCATGGACCAGTACAGCATGGAGGAGCTGATTCAGCGGGGCCAAGGTGGGCCTTTGGCGGGGGCTGGGGCAGAGGAGGGAGGGAGAATGCACAAGGCCTCCAGATGGGGCCAGCCGCGGCTCTCCCAGGCAGCCAGCCAGGACAGGGGCTGCTGTAGGAGCCTGGGGAGGGTCCCCACACCCTCCGAGGCCCAACCTCAGGGCTCTCCTCAGAGCTGCTCTAGGATGTGACTGGTGGCGGAGTGGGGTGTCTGGGAAGTGGGGATTGTGGGCTGCGCGGTAGTGAAGGGGGTGCCCACTGACTGCCCCGAGGGATGCTCCTGACCCTGGGTACTCCCTCTGAGTCACAGGCTCCTGGGACGCTTTCTCCAGGGCTCGGCAGGCAGTGAGAGGGCCAAGACCCGTGCCTGCCTGGCCGTCCCCTGCCCACTGCTGGCCAGCTGCTGCCCTGGGCCCAGCCTGGGTCCTGGCCTCTGTGGCCTGGCTCTGGGTGTTGGGTCTGATTTGGGACAGCCTGTGTCTCTGATTTTCGGGACTGCTGGAGCTGGGTGCTGCAGGCCAGCTGCCTTGGGAAATGAGTTTCTGAAGGATAGGATTGGGGAGCTTGGGTCCCTGTCCTCATTGCCCCGCAGCCTCCCCAGCGTGGACCAGGTCCCCCCCCACCCCGGGGCAGTCATGGGTGAAGCCGCATACACCAGGGCCAGACCACCTGGCATCAAACCGCGGCCTTGCCACATAGTGGCCGTAAGACCTCGGGTATTTGCCTCACCCTTTCTGTGCCTCAGTGTGCTCATCTGTACAGTGGATTAATAGCATACCAGCTACCGTCGGGTAGGCTCACCCCTGGCAACCTCATTGTGTGTCAGAGTAAAACTGTGCTCTGTAGGGTTCCAGTGGCTGATCTTTTTGTACGCAGATCACCAGGTTTTCTTCTGAGGCACTTCTGGGTGGACTTGAACTGCCAACCTTTTGGCTAGCAGCCGAGTGCAGTAACTGTTTGCGCTACCCAGGGGTTCCAAGGGCTATTAGCACAGGACTTACTTAATCAGTCAGGTTCTCTTAGGCTCAAAATAGGATGGTGCTCGCCACGAAGGAAGTGCTCTGGATGGGATGTTAACCGTGACATCTGCTCCAGTCGGCGTGGCCCTAATGGGGCCCCTGCAGGCCCGGGGGCCAGGCCCTAAGGGGCCCTCGCAGGCCTGGGGGGGCCAGGCACCTGGGAGAACACCGCAGGACTGTCCCCCGTGAACTGAGGTCTGCCTGGCGCAGGTTGTGGCGCGGGCCTGCCTGCTGATAAGGTGTCTCAGCCATCTGGTGCTGCTGTAACAGAAATACCCCAGTGGATGGTTTCAACAGACAAGTTTATTCTTTCACAGTCCAGTAGGCTAGAAATCCAGATTCAGGGCATCAGCTCCAGGGGAAGGCTTTCTGTCTCTGTCAGCTCTGGAGAAAGGTCCTTCCTTGTGTGATGCATCAATCTTCCCTTGGTCTGGAAGCATCTCAGCACAGGAACCTCAGGTCCAAAGGACGTACTCTGCTCCCGGCACTGCTTTCTTGGTGGTATGAGGTCCCCAACTCTCTGCTTGCTTCCCTTTCCTTTTATCTCTTTAAAAAGATTGATTTAAGACACTATCTAATTTTGTAGATCTCATCAATATAA